TCTCCTGCGAGATAAGCTCACACTCTCAAATAATTTAAGTTTCTCTGGAGCCAATAAAACTGAGGTCACAATGATGCACTCCTTTACAAACTGTCCTTCTGAATGAGGCTTGAGTGCTTTTGCGATAAGTTCACTCATCACGTAACTGGCTTGAACAATACTGTCCATCTCCTTCCTTGGTTTTGTGAAAATTGCTTCCTGAGCAGTCAAATTCTTCTTAAGGGCTGTAATTTTGTCCACATGCACCTGTCCTCAAAATTTCATATTTGATGTGCTTTGTGTGGTAGTGTCTTTCTAGGTATGATTTTTTTCATGACAGTAAGCACTTCTCCACAAATCAGGCACAGGGGTTTGCATTTCACCTCCACAAAAAAATAATTGTTTGTCCATTTTTCATTTAAAAACATGGCACTCCACATCTTCCTATCTTACTTTTTATGATGGCTACTGCAAAAAAATAAAGGGTTGGAAGGAGCACCGTTTGGGCTTTTTTGCAAGCAATCCACAATTACTGCAGAGTACCTGAAGAATGAGTGTTAGGACAGAAGAAACGTGCCACATGGTCAAGACTTGGAGAAAGTAACCATGAGATTAAAAATGCACGAGGTTTGAAAATTAGTTGCTGGTTGCCATGCCAATGCAAACATTATGCTACCAACAACTTCATCATCAGCACATTTGAATAAGTAATGAGGATGATTGGTTGCAAACACTAAAAATGCAATTTAAAAAAAGTTAAAAGTGCTACTATCATAGGTGTATATTTTTAGAAATACAGTACAACCTCGTAAATCTAGCATGCTCAAAACGGAGCACCTGCTCGATATTTGAAAATTCCAGATTTTTTAAATACAAGGAAAGTGTATAGTTTTTGTGGAGTGGGGGAGGAAAGGAGGTAGCAGTGGCCAGTCAGGGAGAAGCCACTGCACCATGCTAGATGGCCGGGGACTGGTGGGTAGTGGTGACCAGGCAGAGAGCAGCGCTGTGTCACACTGCGCCGTGATGGATGGCCACGGCATGCCAGTCCCTGCCTCGTCACTGCTACCCCCGGTCCCCAGAGGGAGTAGCTGGTTCACGGCCATGGTGTGGCGTGGCAGCTGCTCTCTGCCTGGTCGCCGCTACCCCCTAACCCCCGGAGGAGGAAGCTTGCACACAGCGGCTGCTGCCACCACTCGCACTGCAGCTCTGTGTGTGGTTGCTGTTCCGGGACTGGCTGCACTACTCCCTGATGTGCTGTTTAAAAGTGTACGCATTTTTAAAAAGTGCTGGATTTTCAATCATTCTGGATTTTTTAGTGCCAGATTTATGGGGTTATACTGTACTTGCTGAGGGCTGGATGAAATTATGATCTAGCCTGTGAGCCGTAGGTTTTCCACCCCTGCTCTAGGCCAGTGGATATGTTCCTAATACCTACTACTGAGTGTTTCTTTGAATAAAAATAAAATTTTCATTACAGCACAAAATTTCTGTCTGTCTCTTGAGTACATTGTCTGTAGTGGTGGGGAGGAGGCTGCAGTGATGTTGGGGAGAAGGTTTGGCTGGGATGGGTGTGGTGCTCCCTGCAGGCAGCTGTGGCTTCCCAGGGTTACTTGAGTTATTAACAGCTGCCCAATGTTGGGGCTGTGGCTGGGCATAGGTGAAGGGGAGGGAGATGCTGCCTGGGGAGGAAGGGGGGTGGCATTATCAGGCTTCCAGGCATGGCAGTAGAGCCACAGACCAGGGCAAGGGGAGGAGGGGGCACCCACACAAATTGGTGGCCAACCCCCAGCCCTGCATGACATCCCTGGCCCAGTCTCTCTGGGCCTGGGTGGACCATGTGTTCTGAAGGTTAATGAAAGTGCTCCAGAGCACTTATGTCAGCCAGTAAAACACTTTATTAATTATGTGCAGGAGCCAGGGATGAATTATAGGGTGACAGTGCAGTTGTCAGTAAGGGTGCCCCTCAGGGATGCAGGGAGGGACAGCATGGCCCAGGGGGGCAGCCATGCCAGGGCCATGGTCAGGGGAGGCAGGAGTCCAGGGCTTGGTGGGGCTGCCTGCTAAAAGTCCAGGAACACCCACAGGTCTGATTGTACTGTGAGCTAGTATACTCATGCCCACTGTGGCAAAGATGGTAATGGGTCCTGAAAATTTCCCTTGCTGTCCAAAAAAATGTCCTTAGCAAAAATTGAGGGGGTGAGCTCTGTCCCTGTTGAATGCGTTCTGCTCTGAGGCTTTAATGTACCACCTTAATGGACTTTAATGGGTCCTCAATGTTCCATTGCTGTTTGTAAAGCTGTGAAGCTTTTGCAACAACTGCGGACTCAATGCAATGTTCTGCTCCTCCAAGCAATCAACATGCCAATTGTAATTTAACTGCCCCCCGAAACACAGGTGGATTAACACATGCGCCAGCTGGGACTGAGCCCAGGGGCCCCTGGCTCAGTGTGGACAAAACTGGCAGCCAGGTCAACCTAGTCGTGAGCAAGGTGGCAGCCTATGGCTCCTGGGTACTGCGTGGGGAGGCACAATCGTGCCGGCGGCAGGGAACAGAACCGGGCACAGTGCATGGCCGGAACCTGCTAGCAACAGGACAGCCCCAGTGCAACCAGGTCACGGGCCGGCCCAGCTGCAATCCTGCATGTTGGCTGGGTGCTGCTACAGACAGAATGAGCCGTGGCAGGGGGAGGACCCACCACCAGAGCTCATAGATTCATAGATTCATAGATGTTAGGGTCGGAAGGGACCTCAATAGATCATCGAGTCTGACCCCCTGCATAGGCAGGAAAGAGT